GTATGTATCTATGTATGTAGGTAGGTAGGTAGGTAGGTAGGTAGGTAGGTAGGTAGGTAGGTAGGTAGGTAGGTAGGTGGGTAGGTAGGTAGGTAGGTAGGTAGGTAGGTAGGTAGGTAGGTGGTGGGTAGGTCGGTGGGAGGTAGGGCAGGTCGGTCGGTCGGTGGGAGGTAAGAAGTCGGCAGGTAGGTAGGCAGGCAAGGTAGGTACGTAGTAAGTAGGCAGGAGGTATAAGTAGGTAACAGTAAGTAAGTAAGTAAGTAAGCAAGCAAGTAAGTAAGTAAGTAGGTAGACTGCTCGGACCTCCTCAGGATCCATGTATTGGCCCATTTGGCGCAGTCGTTCGGCCAAGCGCTGACATTCCTCTCAGGGTGGGCGTTGGCATGTCGAAGCGGCTGTACCGGCTGTGAGCTGCATTTTCGAAGACTAACTTGGACAAGGCTGTAAATTTGAGAAGCCCAGCACACAGATTTCGGACTTAACATTCAGCTGTCGACCAAGCCGACTCTACTTCCAAACACCAGCTGTTACACAGATCCAGCGTGCTACGTGCTCATGGTTCTTCTAGACAGTCTGCCTTATGACCTGACTTTCCGTTCCAACAACTCCAGTAACAAACTTTGACTTCAAAACATGTGACTGTTAACTAGACTGCTTGTGCCTTCAGTAATCATGCTTGGGCAGCATGCGATGGCTACCGTTAATCATTGCATGCAACACTGATCATAGAACTCATACCGGTTATGATCCACCTGACGCCGCTCTGTAAGCTCGCTGAGGTTGTGCGCATGGCTGAGGCGCTCCTTCCACTGCGTCGATACACGAATAGTTGAGAGCTGAGGTTTCTTGGCTTTGTGCAAAGGGAAGGTTGGACAGCCGACGACTTCAGACACATGGAGGACAAGAACACAGCGACGCCCTGTAAAGCTGCTCTCTCTCTCACACACTCTCCTTTGCTTTCTTTCTAAGGGCGCCCGCTTTGCGAGAGCCTCTGTGTCCAAGAAGTCCCCCTGGGACTTGCCGCAACGTGGCACTTAGAATTCAGCCTCAACCCCCTTGGGTTTGACAAGAACCAAAGCTCGCGTACACTCTGCATGGCACTTGCCCAGAAAACTGAGAACAGCAACTACTATTACAGAACTACTGCACATCCAGGCACGGAGCGGAAGAAGGTCTTGTTATTTGCATACGACGGCCTTCCAGTTACACTTAACGGCGCTCAGCCGTAGCAATGCTGCTATTCTGGCGACGAAATAGTTACTGCATGCCTGTGACATCACGAGTGTTTGCATGTTACTGTGACAGTAGTGCATTGTTGCTGTGTTTCCGGTACCCCCTGTGCCTATGTCCCACATCGCCCACAGAGCTCGATTTTGCTGCACGGTCTTGTTGAAAGTAATGTGTCATGCACAATGCTGCTACAAGTGTTAAATGATGTACTGTACGTGCCGTGCTTCTGCACCATCTAAAGGGAAATCGTCTTTGGCCATCAGTGTAACTCATTACGGCGTAGTGCAACATTGCACTGGTACACATATTGCTTTCAGTCCTAACTTCAACCGGTGCAGCCTATCCCGCGTGCATGTGTCTGAGTGTTTCTGACCGGTGCCGTAAGTTCTTCCAAGAAGGCGGTGCTGGTCCTGCGCTGCCACCAGAGCGCCCAATAAATCTTCTTCTCCACCTTGGTCGGTGTGGCGGGAGGGAGGCTTAGGAGTTCACCACGGAACGAACAAGCATGTCTTCACGGCAGGGTTGAGACATCCCGAATCGCTGAACGGTTTTTCGGATGATTGGTCCCTTAGCAAAACAGCCCTGCTGAAACACTTCGCCGTTGCAAGACCCTGACGACGCAAAAGGTGCCTTATCAGACATCTAACTTCGCAATGCGCGGGTAATTTCCATGTGCGAGGAATCGGCTAGTTGCTCTGGTTGATAAGTTGGTGATAGGCCTCTTGTTTCACGCTCGACATCTGCACAGTGAAACTATTTTTGGCGACAACACACACGGAAGAGTATATATTTGCACTCAGTGCGAGAACATGACCCTGAGCCTCATTCCGGCACCCCACTTGAAATCATCTCTTGTGCGGTCGTTGTCACTGCGGGTTGCTACTAAGGTGGTGATAGTCGGTGTAGTTGTCCTGGCTGTGATTACCGCTATCTTGGCTGGTATGGCCTTTAGTTGACTGTTTTAACCACGGCCGTAGGATCGACAACATAGAAACACAGCTCACAAAACACAAGATAGAAGCCTTAATACAAGAACAGGGGTCTTGGGCAACCCGACAAATGTAAAACGCAGGAAGGAGGCTCGCAGGCCCATAGCCAGCACTCAAACGAGGATTCATCCGGCAGTCGGCAGCGTGACTTTCGCGGCCCGCTGCATGTCATTGTATGTCTCAAGATTTTCGCACAAGAATGTTTGCATGTTATGGGTTGGGGGTGCTCATGGCGAGGGGTCGCAAGTCTTCAAGATGTCAATCTAAGACTGAGTCGCTGTAAGCAGCCGTGTCTCGCATCTTCCTACACCTACGCTGCAACCCTAAACCGCAAATCCTAAACTTCCGAAATTAAACTAATTAAGCATCCCTAAACCGGTTTCTTCTCAAGGTGCCGGCTCCTAGTGAGGCCTTGGAGACTCTTGGCATCTTTCCGACCGGAGCCAAAAGGCAGTGCTCAGAAAAACGCATATCTATATGAAGGGTTGTCAGTGCCATGAGCCTCGAGAGGCGAACATGCGATTGCTGATGCCAAAATACCCAAAGTGCGGATACGTTCTCAGTAATCATCCAGCAGGTATATTATATGCAGCAGTAGCTGCAGCACAAGAACCAAACTACGATGAGAACACAACATGCAACAGGCACAACGGCCACAGCCACAGAGGCACGAGTGCTGTTAGCAGAAGCACAAACTCGCATCAGTAGCGACGGAAGCTGGAGTAGCCTTGCCGAACATTGCTGAACCCAAGGTCTGATGACTCCAAGAAGAAAGTCTCGCGCTTTTCTACGGCCGCGAACCGCAAGCCTTCCACGGATTCGGAAAGCTGGATTGGCATATCTGCGCGACTTTACCGTGGAGATCTCTGGGCATACATGTCGTAGGCCTTGATCTCTGGCCTCCATCCTCGCTGAATGAAGGCGTACTCTATGCACCCCTGTGGGGCAAGCACGTTGGTCTCTTTGTGAAACAGCCTGAAGCCAGCAGATTCAATCTGCTCCACCAGTTTCAGGAGCCACCTTCTGTACCTCTCATCTTTCTGGACGTGCACCTCTATCATCAGTTGGCCTATGGAGGGCCAGCCACTTGTATTTAAGTTGGTGATAACTTGGTACTCTATACCTTCTATGTCGATTTTCAGTGCATCAATGTGCTTGTGGCCGTGCTCCTGCATGAGTGTAGCGAGAGTCTTTACAGGCATTCCTTCCATCCGTGTCAGGTGCCAGGTGCCGCGGCCAAGCTTGAATAAGCCGTCGTAATCCGCGATACCAACTTTATGGAAATGCCAATGCATGTTTTCGGGGAACTGTGACCCATCAGTTGTGGGGTCATGGACATGTACTTCACATCCCTTCGCCAAACTAATCGCCCCCTTCTCGAATGCGAAATCGCCGAAACTGAAGGAATACACCACGCAGGGTGTCTGAAGCAAACGGGCGCCACACATCCACTTATTCCCATCACCGCCTGCAACGCCGATCTGCTCTTCGCCCCACACACACGGCCAATTGGGCTCGAGGCCTGCAAAGTGAGGACTTGGCACCTGATTTAGCTCTTTCCGCTGAAACCAGTAGGAGTCCTCCGATCTCCGCTCCACTCGGGCTAAGGACTCCGGATCTAAGGACGGCCCGCTTGAGCCCGACCCAGCAGCCGCCGGAGCCTTCACCAGGATTGTCTCTGACATCTGTTCCAAGTGGATCATCTTCCTCTCGAGTCTGTCCAAAGCTGTGATCAGAATTGGCATCTGATCCACATCAGTTTCCAAGAGCTCTGGGCGCTGTCCACTCAACATTCCGGACAGAGCACGGGATTGCAGTAGCAGCAGCAGAGTTGCAGTTACTGGCACCGCGGCCAGCAATACGCACCTCCACGGGCAAGCCATGCCGGATGCAAGCTGGTGTAAAAATCATATAGCCTAGGCAACCCTCATGTAAATGCAGCGCCAAGCGAAGACGCCCGATGCTAACCAAAATGAGCAATGAAAGCAAACAGAGCCGCACAGTGACTCCATATACAAAAAGGATGTGCAGTATGTGGCGCACTCTTCAAAGAATACAGCTGTGACACTTTGGTCGCAGGTATTTCGAGCCAAATAGTGCTCTCGAAGTCGAATCTAGTCGCTCGGGCCCAGTGGCCTGGGGCTTACACATTCGTTTGACGTGTTTCATGGTCAGAAATCGGGAATCCCCCGAAAAAGCTGCAAAAAAGCCGCTAAAGCTCTCAACACCATACCACAGACCTCCACCGCAACGTAAAGAACCCCTCACTCCTGGGGCCCGAGGATCCTGAAGTTCCCCCATTAAACTCCTAAGCACTACATAGAGGGGCCTGGACAATCAGAGTCGGGTTGTGGGGGCATGAACCCCAAGGAATAGTCGTGCCAATTATCCCGGCCCAGACATTACACTGCCCAGCAGCGGCTACGAGCTGACAAAGCAATGCAGCGGTTTCGGAAGGGCTTTTTGCCTCCTACTTAGCAAGGACGAGCCCGCATTGCAGGGTACATGTCTGGACTGTGACTATGCAAGCACGCCTTGGCTTTCGGTTCCTAGGGCTACGGCCTCAAGGCTTTAATGCCTCCAGGCTGTAGGGTTTTTTTGAAGCAGGCGCCTCCCCAAACGCGATCTTGAGCAGGCTTTCGTGCCTCCCCCAGAATCATGGCCACCTTTACTCTAGGTAAATCGGTTGAAGAGGCTCAAGATATCGTGCTGTGAGCATAGCTCTTGGACCCAAAAAGCAATCCCCCCAGCTGGGCCATGGCACGTAGTGGCACACGCCAATGTAACTGCAAAACCTGCCAGGTCGCCGAGTCCAACATATAAAGGCATAAGATAGTATGGGTTTAGGGTTTATGGTTTAGGGTTTTATGTCTATCACGAGGAAGCCTGAGGACGAGTATCAGTAACTGTGTGGGCTTCTACATGCGCGTTCTGCTGCAAAACGTTGCCTTTGCAGTGGCCGTTGCGGCACCCCTGGAGCCTGTACCTACACATATCCCAATGTCCCTGTCGTAAATGCCCCCAATCAGTTCCCAGCTTCGACGCTGCATCGATATCTGCATCATGAGAAGGAGCACTTCAGGCTTCGTAGATCGGGGACTTCAGATCGAACATAAATATGAGCCGTGGCTGTGTGTGTGTGTGTAGTGGTGAACTCCTGAGCCTGCTTCTTGTCCTTCTCCAGCAAGTTTCAACCAAGAGCCATGGACACAACTCTGCTGACCCCGCGCCCCATGTCAATGGCCATGGCCCCTCTGCCTTTCAAGCTGAAGCCCTGCAACATCAGAAACTCCAGATCCTTCTTGCATCCGCAAACCTTCAACTCCTTCGACCCAAACCCCTTTTGTTGACAAGGGACTCGACAGTTTCCTGAGTTCCAGCCGAAGCCCACCATGCAGCGCTTATGTCTGCAACCTTATAATTCCAAACCCTGAGCCCAAAATACTACGTATAGTCTCCATTGTTTTCCGTTTTAGGTTACCTTATAGGATCCTCAATATGCTGCTGGTTAAACCCCCAAAAAAGGAACGACGATGGAGACTCTAGGTAGGTCCCAACGCTTGAAGAGCATTGCGCCGAGGCACGCGGCAAAGGAGCCTAAGGCCGAAGTGGAGACTTGCCGTGCCACCTCTGCCCATTCTGGGTTTAGGGTTTAGGGTTTAGGGTGAACCCCGGGTTTTGGGTCTTTAGAGGGCTTTTAGGGTTTGTAGGGTGTGTAATTAGGACTTATAGGGCTTGGGGTTGAGGGGTTCGGAGTGACCCGGACGAAGATCGCCCCGGCTTGCAGGACCGAGGCATCGAGGGTCAAAGCTTTTGGACAGAAATTGTTCTGCAGTTACACGTATGGTTTAGGGTTTTGGGTTTTGGGTTCCGCTTCTCGGCAAAAACGTGGCTGGTGCATCAGCTCAGATTGCGTGGTCAACTGCTGACGAACCATCTCAAGACAGCCTGCGAGGCGAAGCCCATCTGTCGAGAACTTAGGCTTAGGCTCCCAAACCCTGTCAACCCTAAACAACAACCTCGTTGCTGCACTCTACATTTCGGATTCCGTAGAGGGTGGCCTGACTGCCGACAACCATGGCGAGGAGGAATCCGCCACGGGTGTTGGCTTTGCTGCAGTTTTGCTTGTGGACAGACACTGTATCATCTCGTGCTTCTCGGAGGCTGTTTAGAGTGAAGCCGGGTAGAGTGCAAAGGCTTTGAGGTAAAGGTAGGCGACTCACATAAGGAAGCTCCTGCTGACTCCATCCATACATATTTCAGATATGCATGCATACATGCATACATACGTATTCTTGCATCCTTGTTGTCGATGTCGAGGGTCTGGGTCTTGCTAAGGCTAGGGGCCGAGAATACCGGGCTTTGTGTGCTTGTTTGGATCTGTCACCCTGTTGCTCGTGCGGGAGACTCTGCCCTCCTGTGAGCCACTTGCGAAGATGCCCTGGAAGCGGGGAAGGGTCTGGAAGTAGCTTGAGTTAGAGAGAAGTTGAAAGGCCAGAAGCCAGATGCTTGCCGTCGCATGTTGAGAGGGTAAGTCAAGCTCTCGGGTTAAGACCTCCAGTGACCTTTTGGCACCCAGCCGAGAGGATTCGCTCGCGTTGCACCAGCTTGTGGGGGCTTCTGCTCGGCTTGCACTCCAGAGTGAAAGGGTCTTTGAAGCATGGCTTGACCAGAATGTGTCACGTATCTTCACGTCTTCCACCTCAAGGGTCGTCTTCCATGTCGTCCTCGTCTGCCTCCATGTCCAGAGTTAAGAGTCGCCTGGCCCTCGAGGAATAAACTGAGCATACGCCTCGCTGACTCATGACTCGCATCGCCGATGCTAAGAAATAGCTTTCCGGCAGCGGCTCGCTCTGCTTCACTGCATCCTGCGCCAGCTCCGTGAAATCTGTCGCGGGAACTGGAAGCCCAGATGTGAACGGAATTGCCTCCAGGTTCATCAAGCACACCTGCGTGGTCACCCGCTTTGTGTCCTGCAGGAGCACTGCCACTCGTTCTGCGTCGTAGCTACGGCAAAGAAGAAAGTGTCCAAAGCTCCCGGCACTGAGCTTGGCCATGGCCAACTCCGAGCTGGGGAAATCCAGGCGTGCGAGGCAAAGCTGTGCCCCAGCCTCGGTACCATCGCACCACAGCAGCCGCAGCCGGGCAGGCAGGGTCTCTACCAACTGGGAGTCTCCCTCTCGCTCCTCCCAGACCATATGCACAACAGGCCGCCCCAAGCCTCGTGGGCTTTGCAGGGTCTCGCTTCCTTCAGGTCGCTTCAGGCTTTGCCACGGCGGAGCCATTTGCAAGTGCCTCTCTGCCATCACACGGCTGCACCGGGCCATTGCGGCACAAAGCTGCTCTCCCAGGCCTTCCGCGGTGCTCGAAAGGGTCATCAGTTGTGTCACCAAGGATTCCTGGTTCTCGGATCCCTTTGCTGACTTTCCGATGCGCTGGGACACCTCCTCAAGCTCCAGGGAGCGGCGGCTGCGCATGGCTGCTACGAAGCTTTCGACATCCTCATCGGTGCCCAAAGCCACACAGGCACCACTTCGGCTCTCGGGGCGCGTCGAGGGTGTAGCATCGGTGTTCTCCGTGAGCTTCTGGGCCTGGAACAGCAGCAGTTGGAAGAGCGTCCTTGCAAAGCTCCGAGCCTTCGAGCAGTCCAGGAGGAGATGCTCAGTTAAGGATGAAAAGCGAAGAGTCTGTGTCTCCAACTCACACAGCAGCTCGGAATCCAAACCGATGGATTGGAAGCGCTGCCGCCCACTGCAGGCCTTTAGGTCTTGGAGAATGGCAAGAAGGTGCTGCACGGCCACCTGAACTTGCCCCTCAAATTTAATTATAAGTGACTTGGCAAGCACTGACTTCTAATTAGACCAGACTCACAGCTGCCAGTGGAAACCTCCTTACGCTCCTTTCGAGTCGGCGCACACAGCAGACCCATATGCTCAGTGACAACCTTGTGTCTAGGCTCTATGGTTCGCCTTGTGCGCAATGCTTGGGCGAGATCTGCCTTCCTTTTTTTTTGAAACTTGAGAGGCTTTTCATTTGGAGCTTCGGGAGCTTCGAACCATAGAAGAAGCAAGAAATGAAATACGTACGTCTTCCCTGTGTGAGCTATGCCTGGAGGCGGGTGCACGTGACGAGGTCGACGTAGTCCAGCGCCTGCATCAAGCCTTTCTCTATTCTCGACAGCTGCTGAGGGGTTGTCTGCCTTGTTAGGAATGCATGCAGGGCGTCCGATGGGTTGCCTGTGCAAAGTGTAAACAGGAGCTCCGAATGGACGTCAGTGTCGTCTCCCGAGTATGCTTGGAGACAATCGAAGAAGGCCCTCATCTTGTTCACAAAGGTGCTTGCAGCGCTCCTCCACACATTCGCGAGGGTGTCGACGGCCTGCTGGGTGTATGTTGCCACTGCAGAGAGCCGCTCGACCAGGGAAGCGCTTTGGGCGAGCTCCCGACGACGGATTGCCAGCTTGCGGACGTCTAAGACCAGCAAAGCTAGATCTGAGGCTTTGCTGGCTTTGACCTCGCTTTCGCCGATGCCTTGGCTGCCTGCAGACCCAGAAGATCCAATTGATCCCCCGGAGTCCAGTGGCTCAGGGTGACCCAGCACGGCCAAGCAGCGACAATCGCGGGACAGCTGCACAGCCCTGGGCCGCAATGACGGCAAGTCTTGAACTTGCACTGGGAAGGTGCCACCAGCCGCAATAACCACGTGACCTCCCTCGTCCACGGACGCTAAGAACGTGAGCCCGGCCGCGGACGTCGGTGCCTCCTCCCGAGGCTCGGCGAACATGTTGCTGGGCGCGCTGGGCACCGAGAGCAAAGGCGGCAGCACCTGAGTCCACGCAGGGTCCTCGCAGGCAGAGCCGCTCTCCACCCAGCAGAAGGCGGTCACGGCCACAGCGTGGGAGCGCCGGGAATGGAGCACACCTCCTGTCTCGCCTCTGCAACGCGGGCCATGCAAGGAAGTAGATTCGGCGTGGGTTAAAAAAATAACCGTCTTTTTCACTCACTTCAGAAGAATCGAGAACAGCACGGGACAAGACGCCGTCGTAGATGGCGATGCCTCCCAAGCGATCCCCAACTGCCAGGCGCCGGCCGCAGGGGGACCAGGCCAAAGCACTGCCAGTTCCAGTGATCTTCTCAGAGAGCAGCTTGGGACCTGATTTTCAAAGGGAGACTCTTGGGATGTCTTGAGCATGCAACAAGACTTGGTGTCGGTACGTATGTCTGTGCATTGCACATGGGACAGAGGTCTCGGAAATTCCGAAACCAAACCCCTCAACTAAGCCAAATGAACGGAACAGGTCCCGCACGTAGTGGCCCTTTGACAGCAATATGACAACATAACTCTCTGGTGTGTGCTTGGGGCAGAGGTTTCTAAAAACTGCTCCCCAACGACCTGAGCAAAGCAAGTCCAAGAAGCTTTGGTCTTCGGACAGCAGGCGATAGATACTCATCGTCGAGTCAGGCGGTGCTGTGAGGCAGGCCAGCAGGTCCTCTCTCTTATGTGCAGATCTCAGATACCTCGCCTTTAGTCTAATTTGGGGTCATCTTCGGTAAGCCTTTCAAAACTGAAGGTAGACCCCAAAGTTCGCAACTCAGGTCCATGGTGGGATTCCATTCGAAGGCTTCCAAATCCGACGCCGAGCGGTCGGAGAAGATGCGGAAGGCCCCCATTGGCTTTGGACTCGATGCCTCTGCGTCCATCTTTTCGTGCTGTCTACCACGTCAAACCAAGACTCAAGTGTTACAGACGACGGGCACTTAACCTTTGCGATCAGTGAAGCAACCGGCAACCGAAAAAGCATAATCAAGAGAACCGAATTGGACAGAATAGCAAACCAGAGCTCCATGACCAAGACCCAAGACCCCCACTCCTGTTTGAGATCAAAGGAGTCCAGCCACGTGTTAAGCTCTCACAACTTGCAGTGACCCTTAAAACAAGCCTGCAGCTTTCCAAACCTCTTCGCATCTCACCTTGTGCAATCTCTCATTCACCCGCTATCTACTGCTTATATAAAAATGTTACGCCTGTACGGATTTGTGATATCAAAACTGGAAGCTGTTTTATTCACTGGTGCCGAAGCCAACCTCGAAAGATTTTTTCTCTGCGTAGGACTAGCCAGCTTAATTCTGGCTCGAAGAGGGCCGGCCCCTACGAGCCTGCGACCGGCACAGGCGAATCACAGACGTGCCGCTTGCCTCCCTGGTTCCTGCTTGGGGAATCTGGCCCCGAATGAATCATGAAGTATATGAGGTTGCTGAGAACAGCGACTCAACAGAACACAGTAGGTTCAGGCTCCATGAGAGCCTTGCATTGAGGCTGACAGCCCCTAGCCGCAGTCGCAGGCTCGGTCAGCCATGGTGAAATCTTGATCCATGCGTGAGACTGGCATCTTCGGGGAAGGTCACAGAGTCGCCTCTTCTGCTTCCGGCTAGAAGGGTCTTCGGGTCTAAGTCATCGTGCAAGCTGTAGGCAGGACGACAAACAGCACAGGTCTCACTGATTCGACTTGTTCATGCCGCCGAAGTCCACCGTCACCATCCATCGCATCAGCCTTAGGGTAGACTGACTGGACTAGAGCATGAACAAATCCTCCTGATGTTCAATGCAAAAGGAATTTAGATTTAGACGCCAACGTCTAATGAAAGCCCAGCATACTATAAGTATCTAGCGAGTGTTACTTACTGCTTGTCGGCTGCGCCGGAACTATGCCCTGTTATCGAGAACTCCAAAGCTCGTTCTACCGCTGTTTCAAGCCGTACATGGAGCCCGTCCCTTCATCACAAGCCAGCGTAGCTACGCTGGGCGAGTGGGCTTACTGTCAGGGGGAGCGCGAGTGAGGCCCCCAAACAGGATCCGGCATATTCCTGGCGGTTTTTGTCAACAAATCTCGCAAATCGAAGTACTGCGAGACAGGGCTGAGCCATACTGCTGATGAAACCCTGCAAACCTTCATGCCAAGGCGAACCCATAAAGCTCAAAGGAAGCTGAACAAGTAGCCAGAGCGGATTATTTGAGGACTCTGAACCCCGATAATATAGGGGCCTTCCTAATTAAAATAGGGCTTTGGGGTCTATTCTACGATACTCACAACAAGGAACCCTAAAAGGAACAATACCAGTAGTTATTAGTTATTATTCAGGCTTCTATACTAATTCAGCACACAGCTTCCAAGAAAGGAGCCGGAGGAAGTCCGCAAAGTCCAGGCTGCCACTGGGGCTCAACCTGCCGTGCTCAATGTGGGGGGTTTCCGAAAATAGGGGACCCTAACATAGTACCCTTTTTTCGCAAGGGTCTCGACTGCTGATATAGTACCCTAAAAATTTATAGTAGGATCCTGGCTATAAGGAGCCCAAAATACGGTACCCAAAATAATTTTCGTGAACTCCCATTTTGTTGCTCAAAGAGTTCACACTTGCGGCATTTTGGATCGCTGGATCTCTGCATGAAGGCCCACAGGTGTCCAAGGAGAGTCGATACATTCGGGTTTTCTGGTGTCCTTAGTGCACGGAGAAGACAGGCAATATGTACGACCTTGGCTGATAGTGCCTGGTGCCGAGGCCCACTCCACCGCCTGCCTCTGCCCTAAGGCCTGAACCCTCTCGGTCTTTCCTCCCCATACACCTACCTCCCGGAATCCTCAAGCCCATATACTTCCTCTTCCCCTGCAAGTGCTGGCCGACGATTCTAAGTGTCAAATTGCAAATGTAAGGTCGTGGCTCTTCGATCTTTCGATCCAACCTGCAGTGATTGCCAGTCGAGGCTTTCCAAGGTGCCTTGTAGTGTACCGAAAAAACCGAAGCCACGATGTTCCTATTTTCGACTGGCAGACTCGCACACGGCAGGGACGGCTTCACAAGGATTCCGACGCGCACTACAGGTACATGTCGGAGCAGAACGTGCTGTTGTTCAGACTCCGCCCCGCAGCAAACCCGCCCCGCTGGTGTTTGCTGCGGCTGCAGCAGAGTGGTGCTGTACCTATGATACAGTCTCAAGACATGCAGTCCCGACTCACAGGCTCTTACAAGCTCTAAACCGGAGCTGTCGGATGAGAGTTAGCTGCACCTAAACGGAGAAAGCTTGACTGTGCATCAGTTGGGTGGCAAGTTTGTCATAGTTTCCTCCGCAACTTCGTGAGTTCCGACTCTGGAGAGTCGCCTCCCGCAGACAACTGGAACAAGCCGCGCGAGGCATGTCAGCAGCGACGGTCCAACTGTAGGAGGGTTTTGACTTTGTGCCTCTTCCGCAGATCATCAGAGATGCGAACACCCAATGATCGGATGAGGCTGTCCAATGTGTCCTGGCTGGCCAATGGCGAATCTACAGCTGAATGAAGAAGCGCTAGACCCCAGATTCGAGATCACCTTGGCCACATTCCGTGGCCATCACTTTCATCAAATAGCAAAAGGCATCGAGCACGCAACATGGATCTAGCTCAACGCCGTACTGCATACATGCATACACAGCCATGCCATGTACCAACTCTGCCCAAGCACGCAGTTTTAAGTGCAGATACAGCCCTTCTTATCTGCGGGCAACCAGTACCTGCCCCAATCGCCAAGCCCAAGGATCCAAAAGAGCCTAAAGAAAAGCCCTCATGTCCAGTCCTTCGTCAACTCCTTGTGCCGACAAGCATCCTGGGCATGTCGCAACTGATAATGCACGATGCTACTGCCAAAGGCTTGAACACAAATTAGGGTTCGTACTTGGAGTTGGGCCCGGGGGTACATGTCAACATCTCAAATCTCAAGCGAACTATAGACTTTAATAAGGCACGAAGGCACAGGATTTCTTCAGCAGAACTCCACTTCGAGCTATATCGGTCCAGATTCGTGAATATATAGCAAGGCGCAACGTTTGGAAAAGAGAAAATCGTTATTCGATAACACCTGAACGAAGCTCCCCCTAGAGCTGCGACTGGCAACTCATTATGTAAATGCCGAGTGCACAATCCGAAAGGACTGAACCTCGATTGAGGCAACATTGGCCCTTTTGCCGCGAAATCTCCGTCAGGGGTGGAAACTGCCATCAAAGCCTTGCATTGGTCAAACATGCCGGTTCCGCAGGGTCCATCATGGGATAGACGGCCGATGTGCGCAAATCCTTCAAAAGAGATTGAGAGTGAATTGGTCGTCGGAGTGGGCGGTGGGCAAGTAACTGCATTCATCTCATTGGACAGTCCAGGAGTCTAGTAGTATGCCGCTAGACAAGAGCATCGGCAACTCTATTGTACCACAGCCATCTCAATCAGCAAGATAGTCAAACCCGCCAACATATGCCGAGCCCGGGTTGGAAAAGACAATGGCTTTAATGGCTGTAGTTGCACAAGCCACCGACGCGACGTCAACGACCAAAGAAAGAAAGCCCATTCATGGCAACTGGCTGCTCGACCTCTTCTACCAGTGGTTGGAAGCCGCGACTACATAGGCTGTCAGGCATGAAGCAAGTTTGAAGCAAACCTGCTTTACTGACAGTGCGACCACAGCCAGCCAAGCGATCCAAACAAAGACCACTACATCTCAACCCAAATAACGAGTTCCGACGAAAAGACCATCAACAAAACACACCCAAGGCAGCGCAGCAGGTTCCCCAACGGCCATCCGACACCTCCCGAAACCCTCCCTCTCCTGCTGATGGAACCAGCTTACGAAGCTCTCCCGGAAGCTATCGACTTCAGACTGGGAGAACCTGAGCAGCTCAGCAGCCATCAGGCCATGGAAGATTATGCTTGAAGCAGCCCCGGATGTGTGATGGACACCTCCGGAGAATCCTTCTGGCATGGATGTCTCTGCAGGTCCTTCATGGAAATATAACCATCGAGCTGCGGAAAGCTCTTGCGACTATCGTCCCGCTTGAGCTGCCAACATCGTCTGCTGAATCGCGCGCGTCTCACGTTCCAGCACCTGTCATGCAGTGAGTGCTTGCGTATTGTGAGTCAGCGCTGCTGCTGCAGCAGGGCGAAGCAGAGGCCGAAAAGATCGAACAATCTTCCACAAATATCCGGTAGAACGACAAGGTACATCGCAGGCTCTGCTTGGATACTGGTACATCTTCAGACAACGAGCTGTCTTGAAGGATAGGTAGCACTGAGAGTAACACGATGATTGTCGAGATGCTTGTTCTTGGTGGCTTCCGAACAACAGCGACTATGCTGATGATGCCGACACCAAACCCCAAAGCCCCATGCCGTCTGTGGTGGGCTTCGGAGCGAATACCACGACTGGCCTTGCTCTCATCACGACTAAACCTCAGATTTGGCGAAAAGAAATATCCAGATCCGACTCAAAGTCACCTACGATCGGGATCCTACGAGCTGGGTCGCCGGTATTTGCCATGGGGCTCTGCGGGAGGAATCTTAGACTCATTCACAAGCAAAGATATCGTGACTTTGACCAGCACAAAACATGAAATGTGAGTAATCACTCCTCCGAAACCCTCATATCCTCCCGGAAAGTCGGCCACCCCTAAACGTAAGTGCAAAATCTCAGGGCGATGCTGGATACGAATGAGCTGCACGAGCACCCAGAAGTTGACAGCTGCAGCGGGTGGGGCTTAGGGTTTCGACTCGCGCGCTCGCACAAGCAGGCACGGCTTCCAGACAATCCAGGTTTAGGGTTTAGGGTTGCTCTCAAGACGATCAGCTGCTATTCAGCCACTACTCAGCCGCGTGCTACGGTACACCCCAAACCAAGCAACGAGAACA